GTGAAAGCCTGGCGGAAGAGCTCCGTCTTACAGGCCCTGCGGAACTGCATAAGGTCCCACAGGGCCCTGTTCTCCTCTGGGAGCTCATTCCACCAGGTAGGGGCCGCCACTGAAAAGGATCTGGTCCTAGTCGCGGCGAGCCTTGCCTCCCGGGGGCCTGGAACCACCAGGCGATGTTGTGCCCCGGACAGAAGTGCTCTTGGGGGTATATACGGGGAAAGGCGGTCCCTCAGGTAGGTCAGACCCTGGCCATGTAGGGCTTTAAAGGTAAGTACCAGCACTTTGAAGCGGATTTGGTATGCTATTGGCAGCCAGTGCAGCGCTTTCAGTCCAGGCTGGATGTGCTCCCACTTGGGGAGACCCATCATCAGCCTGGCTGCCGTATTCTGCACTAGCTGCAGTTTCCGGATCTGCCCCAAAGGCAGCCCCATGTAGAGAGCGTTACAGTAGTCTAACCTCGAGGTGACCGTCGCATGGATCACTGTAGCCAGGTCGCGGCCGAGGAAGGGAACCAACTGCCGAATCAGCCTAAGATGATAAAATGCCGATCTGGCAGTGGCTGCCACCTGGGCCTCCATAGTTAAGGAGGGATCCAGGAGCACTCCCAAACTCCTAACCTCCGACGCTGGCACCAATGGCGCCCCATCGAAGGTCGGGAGAGAGAGCCCCAACCCTGGTCCGCTCCGACTCAGGCACAAGACCTCCGTCTTCGCTGGGTTTAGTTTCAGCCAGCTCAGTCTGAGCCACCCAGCCACGGCCTGTAGTGCCCGGTTCAGGTCTTCTGGGTCGGAGCCCGACCGGCCGCCCAACATCAGATAGAGCTGGGTGTCATCAGCATATTGATGGCAACCCAGCCCAAACCTCCTGGCAATCTGGGCGAAGGGGCGCATGTAGATGCTAAACAACATTGGGGAAAGCACTGCCCCCTGAGGCACACCACATTCAAGTGGGTGCCTCCGGGGCTGCTGTTCCCCTATCGCCACCCTCTGTTCCTGACCTTGGAGAAAAGAGGCAAGCCATTGAAGAGCGATCCCCTGTATCCCCAAGTCGGCGAGGCGATGGGTCAGCAACTGGTGGTCGACCGTGTCAAACGCAGCTGACAGATCTAACAACAGTGCCGCCACACCTCCTCGATCCAGATGCCTCCGAAGGTCATCAGTCAGGGCAACCAGCACTGTCTCCGTCCCATGACCTGGGCGGAAGCCGGACTGGAATGGATCCAGGACAGAAGCATCATCCAGAAAGCTCTGAAGCTGTGTCGCCACCGCCCTCTCAATCAATTTGCCCAAATAGGGCAAATTGGACACCGGTCGATAGTTGGCCAATCCAGCCGGGTCCAGAGTTGGTTTTTTCAGGAGAGGACGGACCATCGCCTCCTTGAGTGCCTCAGGGAACCGTCCCTCCAAGAGGGACTTGTTGATAATGTACAAATAGTACAAATAGTAAATGGCTTCCTGAATGGGGGTGGTCTAACCCTAACCCTGCCTGGAAACAGACAATGGTGCATCCAGTCCTAAAGTAACCTGTTCTGGACCCAGAGAGTTGAATAACCACAGCCCAGTCTCCAACGTGCCACTCCTGAGCAAGGTGATTGAACAACCGGTGCCTGAGCAGTTTCATGGATTCCTGGATGAAGCAGTCTGGTTGGATCCATTGCAGTTTAGTTTCAGGTCTGAGCGTGACCCTGTTCATTCTCCTGGACCTCTCAGCAACTTTTGATACCATCAGTCAGGGTGTCCTTCTGGGCCCAGTTTCCATTAACAGGAAAGATGAGGCAGTACATCTAGCTAGGTCATGCTAAGAGTGAGCTAAGGAAATCTGTCTGGATTATAAGCAATTATATATTTCCTCACAGTTGGAGGTTTGCTATAATCATCAGGACTGCTCATCCAAACCGGTCACTGTAGGGGCCGTCAGGGGTGTGTCCTCACTCCCCGGCGTTTTAATGTGACCTCCCTCTGCAATTTCCGGCTACAAGCCTTCATCCCCCAGTGTTTCCTTTTGGGCCCACCCATAGAATTTCCAGAAGCGAATCCAATTCTCTTGGACTGCACTGGCTGCCAATAGCATACCCCTCAATCTTTCTGGACTGTATACCCTCTCTGACATACAGAGCCACCCCACCTCCAGCCCTCCCCCCCCATCCTTCCGATATAATATATAACCGGGAATCACCGTATCGCACTGATTTTCCTCATCCCACCAAGTTTCTGAAATACCCACAATGTCTATTTTTCTCCCCAACACCAAACACTCCAACTCCCCGATTTTACCTTGGACAAGAGAGAGATCTTGGAGTCATAGTAGATAACTCACTGGAAATGTCGAGACAGTGTGTGGCTGCAAATAAAAAAGGCCAATGCTATGCTGGGGATTATTAGGAAGGGAATTGAAAACAGATCAGCCATTACCATAATGCCCCTGTATAAATCAATGGTGCGACCTCATTTGGAATACTGTGTGCAGTTCTGGCCACCACACCTTAAAAAGGATATTATAGCTTTGGAAAAAGTGCAGAAAAGGGCAACTAGAATGATAGAAGGGTTGGAACAATTTCCCTATGAGGAAAGGTTAAAGCGCTTGGGGCTCTTCAGCTTGGAGAAATGACGGCTGAGGGGTGACACGATTGAGGTTTATAAGCTTATGCAGAGGATAGAGCAGGTAGAGAAAGAGGTACTTTTCTCCCTTTCTCACAATACAAGAACTGGTGGGCACTCCATGAAATTGCTGAGCGGTTGGGTTAGAACAGATAAAAGGAAGTACTTCTTCACGCAGAGAGTGATGAACAAATGGAATTCACTGCCACAAGAGGTGGTGGCCGCTACAAGCATGGACAGCTTCAAGAGGGAATTAGATAAGCATATGGAGCAGAGGTCCATTGGTGACTCTTAGCCACAAGGTATAGATAGGGGCTCTCAGGCTGGGGCGAGGGATGCTCTGTATTCTTGGTGCTTGGGGGTGGGTCAATAGTGTGTGGGCTCCTAGAGTCCTGGCCCCACTGCTGGACCTCCTGATGGCACCTGGTATTTTTTGGCCACTGTGACAGAGTGTTGGACTGGATGGGCTGTTGGCCTGATACAAGATTGGCTTCTCTTATGTTCTTATTAATTAATAAATTTATTACCAACTCGCTGTGAGTGCTAAAATGGTGGTACTGCGTGGAGCTGTGGCCACTAAGGATACCATCTTGATGATGTCATCTGTTCCCTTGTTAGATATTGTGGAGAGCACTTATGGTGTATTGAATGTTTTTAAAATGCAGTTTTAATGTTTTATGTATTGGGCATTGGCCCCATCTGTACGCGGCCCTGAGCCCGTTCGCGGGGAGGGTGGGTTATAAATTTAAATAAATAAATAAGTAAATAAATAATAAGAACTGTCTGTGTTGTAGAACTTCAGGCTTCTGGTCCACGAGGGCTGCAGTTTCTCTGCATTTACCTGAAGGCTCAGCCAGGCCAGCATACACAGTGTTGTTCAGTATTCTAATATACTATTCTGAAAAAGAAATAGACACACTTTTATCATATTACACCTGTCTTAAAATGTCTAGTTTCCCAGCAGTATGTTTCTGCAGGCAGTTTAAGGTGCTGATTTTGTCCTTTAAAGCCCTTGACAGCTTAGGACCCCAGTGTGAATCTAGATTCATTCATTGTACCAGTTCTTCTTTACTCGTCACTGTTTCTTCCCAGTGAGAGAGGTGGGCTGTTCCTGGGCTAATTTAGTGGTTGCTCTGGAATTGGCTGCAAATGGAAAACACTTGTCTGTTCAGGAAAGTCTGTAAGGTGATTTTATTCTAAGGATCTTTTGCTGATTTAATGCCACTGTTTTTGAGACGTGTGGTTTTAAACTGTTGTTTGTTACTGTAACACTATGGGTGTTTCTTTTCTTTAGTGTTTATGCCTTGTACATACATGTCAACTCCCTCGAGTTTCATACTGTGTGCAAAACCAGTGCAGAATACAGAAAATTAATCATCCCTAACTTGACACTGAAAAGTATGCTATTTGGCATATTTGTGGAATTTAAATACCTATTTTTCCCCCACACAAAGCTGCCTACATACCCAGTAGTAGAGAGAGGGCGTCAAACGGCTGCTACCTAAGCATGCATGCATGCATATATATATATTTGTTTTTGCAAGAAGTAGTGAGAAGCCAGGAAAATAGAAGGAAGTAAAAGATATAGAGACCACAAATGTTGCAGCCAATAAAATATCATTATTATTTGGATATTAAAACTTTATTCATTCAGTGAGTATATTGAGTACAATCAGATCTGGATATGGCAAGGCTAACAATATTGAAAACATTCATCAATAATCTGTTGCCATAAAACATTCTGTCCTTTGCAGTGTGAACAAAATTATATTATACGTTGGAATTAGCATTATCTAGTGCAATAAATTTACATAGAACAGTTTATGCTGGTTGGATTTAGGAAATTTGAGTGGGCATGATTCAGAATGAATATCGATCAGTAAAAAATCTAACTGGTGTTGTATTTAATAGTACTTTTGTAACCATTCCCAACACACTTACATGACAAACCAGGCTCTGGGAATCTACTGGAACACCCCCAGACCCTTTCTGTAGAGCTTGTCTTCCGGAATCATAATTTGCCTTTGCTTCTCCTCTCTGCTAGATCAGTTTCTCACTTGTGTCCCTCTCTCAGTTTCCTTTGCACAAACAATTTTCTCTAGTTTCCTGGTCTCTTCAAATTGAACACTGTAAGAAAAACGGCATGCAAAAAGGCACCTTGAAGTTTCTAAAATAGCTCTTATTACAGAAAGCAATATCGCTGGGTAAGGAAAAAAACCCAGTGGGAATCCTATCACTATGGATCTAAGCTTTTGACATTGGCAAGAGATGTTCTTTAGGCCCAACTGAAATGAATCTTTTTCATGGACTTCCGTTAGGTTCAAGGAAACAACTGCTTTATAGCATTTGGACTTGGTAAATACACTGCAAGCCCTGCTTAATCTCATGTGTTTCTTTCCATAGGATTCCCTAGCTGAAGTTGAGGAGAAATATAAGAAGGCTATGGTTTCAAATGCTCAGCTAGATAATGAGAAAACAAATTTCATGTACCAAGTAGATGCTTTAAAGGATGCATTGTTAGAACTGGAAGAACAGCTTGCAGAATCCAGAAGACAGTATGAAGAGAAAAACAAGGTAAGTATGAACAAATGATGTCATAATAGGAAACTGTAGGTAGGTTTTTTTGTCAGAGAAGTGAGACTTTTTAAAGCCTTTCTACTATACGCCAATATTTCCAGGAAGATTCCAGTTTTTTAATAAGGTTATATGTCTTTTTAAGTCCTTTATAAAAAAAAAGAGATACAGCATGAATTTAGAGCAGATTCCTACATGGCTTATGCATGTAGGTTGAATTCGTTTATTTAAATATTACTGCCTTTCCTTACGTAACTGGCCCGAAGAGCTTTGTGACCAGGTGTGGATTAAGCCTTGGGCTTACATGCCACCCCCCACCAGATTTTGAACTATGTGTTGAATTAGGAAAAGGGTGCATTGTCGATTATGCTCTTTTTCACAAAACATTAATCATGAAGGGGGGAAAGGAGGACTCGGGTAATTACCGACCCGTCAGCTTGACGTCTATATCTGGGAAAGTTTTAGAACAAATCATCAAACAGACAGTTCATGAGCATTTAGAAAGTACGGCTGTAATTACTAAGAGCCAGCATGGGTTTCTCAAAAACAAGCCATGTCAGACTGACCTTATCTCTTTTTTTTTTTTTAAGAAAGTTACTACCTTGCTGGATCAGGGGAATGCTGTAGACATAGTTTATCTTGATTTCAGTAAGGCCTTTGATAAGGTTCCACATACTATTCTTGCTGACAAATTGGTAAAATGTGGTTTAGATCCTATGACTGTTAGGTGGATCTGTAACTGGTTAACACATCACACCCATAGAGTGATTGTTAATAACCATTAATAACCTCATCCTCTTGGAGACGAGTGACAGGTGGAGTGCCTCAAGGATCTGTCCGGGGACCTGTTTTGTTCAACATTTTTATAAAGGATTTGGATGAAGGAATAGAGGGAATGCTTATTAAATTTGCAAATGATACTAAATTGGGAGGGGTAGCAAATGCTGTAAAAGACAAAGTCAGGATACAGGCTGATCTTGACAGGTTGTAAAACTGGGCTGAAACAAAATGAATTTCAATGGGGATAAATGCAAAGTTCTGCATTTAGGTAGGAAAAATCAAATGCATAATTAGATGATGAGGGAGACTTGTCTTAGAATCATAGAGTTGGAAGGGACCTCCAGGGTCATCTAATCCAACCCCCTGCACAATGCAGGAATTTCACAAATACCTCCCCCCACACCCCCTTTGACTGCTGTTCCATACCCAGAAGATAAAAAAAACCCTCCAGGCTCTCCAGCCAGACTGGCCTGGAGAAAAATTGCTTCCTGACCCCACAGTGGTGATCATCATTTCCCTGGGCATGTAAGAAAGGGCCACAAGAACTAAGCCATCTAGCCTCTGTCTTGTCAGTAGTGTGTGCAAAAAGGATCTAGGGGGTCTTAGTAGACCATACACTGAACATGAGTCAGCACGGTGATGCGGTAGCTAAAAAGGCAAATGCAATTTTGGGCTATGTCAACAGAAGTATAGTGTCCAGATCACGTGAAGTGATGGTATCGCTTTACTCTGCTCTCGTTAGACCTCACCTAGAGTACTGTGTTCAGTTTTGGGCACCACAGTTTAAGAAGGGTATAGACAAGCTGGGACATGTCAAGAGGACGGCAACAAAGATGGTGAGAGATCTGGAGATCAAGTCCTGTGAGGAAAGGCTGAAGGAGAGCTGGTTATGTTTAGCCTGGAGTGGAGATGACTGAGAGGTGATTTGATAACCATCTTCAAGTACTTGAAGGGCTGTCATATAGAGGATGGTACAGAGTTGTTTTTTGTTGCCCCAGAAGGTCGAACCAGAACCAGTATTTGGCTTAATAAATACCTGAAAAATACCAATAAGGTATTTTTCTGGTATTTATTTCTTTTGGTTTATGCCAAATGCAGACCCCTAGTCTAGTGGCACTTTTACGACCAACAAAGTTGTATTCAAGGTATAAGCTTTCATGTGTACACTCACCTCTTTCGATACAGTGAAGTGGAAATTACCAGTCCATACTTATAGTTAGTTAGTTAGTTAGTTTACCTTTATTGGCATTATAAAAGGGAGAACATTAAACAAATACATAAAAGAGTGAAACATAAAATGAATCACTAATTGATGTCCCAAAATTACAGTATATTACTTCGTATAAGAACAATGTATAAAAACTTTGCCACTGAATCAGTTATATTGTCATCAGTGTTGTTAATTTATATGTATCAGGAAAATCCATAATGTTGGATAAAATTGGAGATAAAATACTTTGTCTGATATTATTATAATGAGGACACTCGTCATGCCGGCCACATGACCACGGAAACGTCTTCGGACAGCACTGGCTCTTCGGCTTTGAAACGGAGATGAGCACCGCAACCCTAGAGTCGGATTCGACTGGCTTTCGAGCAAGGGAACCTTTACCTTTACCTTTTAACAACACATGAGGCACTGTCTCAATAGTTCCATTTAAACAAGGCCAATGTCTATTATTAAGGGGTATACCCTGAAATCTTCCAGTTAAAATCGTTGAAGGTAAAACATTAAGCTTAGAAAGAGAAAAAAATCTATGAATTTTTGGAGTCTGTAGTTCGTAGAGATAACTAGGGAGACGTCCTACAGTGGGAAGCATCCCATGGCTGAGAGGAGGTCTTATTGGCTGCATTATGCAGATTGGCTAGCTCTACCTCCAATAATCTGTTCCTTATTTTTTGAAATGCCTCCGATACTGAAAGAAGGAGAGATTCGAGGGGGATAGTCAGAGTTCCCAGTTTACTCTCTATGGTAGCTAGCCAAGATGAAAACTCAGATTCCATTAAAAGCTCGTAATTGTAACTGGAAGGCAGCTGAAGCCAATATTTAAAGGGTCATAAGCCACACCCTAGTGGCCATAAGGTTTTGACCACATTCCAGACATAGGGCCACATGTGAGGCACAGTGTCTTCCATAAGAAGGACAAATGTACCTGTTCTGTTGACTTGTTTACTGCGTCAATCCATATAGGGACACCATAAGGTAATTGGGGCCTTATTTTCTGATTAAAGATTTTTAGCGCAGCCAGCACATATTGATTCCCTCGATCAGAAAAATATAAACGTGGGAGTGCATTGATAGTCACCTTGGAGTTGTTAATTGTCACTCTTCACTGACGGGCCCAAGAGGCAGTGGCTTGAAAGCGAAGGCCTCTCTTAAGTACATGGAGTTTTTTACGTTCAAGATCACAATCACCTGCCCGCCAGGTAAATTGCTTTCTGGATTTGGAGAAAACTAAAACTTTAGATTTCTCATAGTTCGGTTCTAACTGATTGATGTTACAGTAGTTCTGACTGCTATTCAACAACAACCCGGGAACAGGAAAACAAAACCGCATCATCACCATCTAACAGAATGGGTACATGAATGGAACGTAGTTTTGGGCAATGTCCATCCACCTGAGTCAAAAAAGGTGCAAGGTCTCTCAAAAAAAGTTAAAAAGAAGGAGTGCAAGCACGCAACCCTGTTTGACCCCTTTATTGGTGGAAATTTTGGGGGGCAGTCTTCCAGATGTAGAGCATCTAATTTTGCATGAAGTAGCGGTGTATAATCTGCAAATAAGGAAGAGCAGTCTCTTATCAAGAGATGTATCAGCCATTTTTCCCCATAGGAGATTTCTATGATTGCATTGGTCCATGCTGCAGGGAGAGGGGGAGCAGTAAATTAGCATACAGCATAATGAAGATGTTTAACATATCCAGAGACCAAACAGGAATAACAAGCTTCGTTTATATAGTTACCATACACTCCATCCATTAAGCTAATCATAGGGTGTCAGTTAATTACTCTCAGCATTCCACAATTAAGGATACATAATCAATCGCCAATTTTGACATATTTATTTCCTTTACTTTGTTTTTCCCGGAATTAAACCCAAACAAATGGTAACCATATAAACTAAGGTTGGTCTTTTTTTGGTCCTTGAATCTGTTAAACATCTTCATTATGATGTCTTCAGAGCCAGTTTGGTGTAGTGGTTAAGTGCGTGGACTCTAATCTGGGAGAACCGGGTTTAATTCCCCACTCCTCCTCCACTTGCACCTGCTGGATGGCCTTGGGCAAGCCGTAGTTCTGATAAGAGCTGTCCTTGAAAAAGAGCAGGTTCTGTCAAGAGCTCTCTCAGCCCCGCCTACCTCACAGGGTGTCTGTCTGTTGTGGGGATGGGGAGGGAAAGGAGTCTGTAAGCCGCTCTGAGACACCTTTGGGTAGTGAAGGGCCTTGGGGTATAAACCCAATCTCTTCTTCTTATTCTGTATGCTAATTTATTGCTCATCCTCTACCTATCTGTACAGACTGGTAATTTCCATTTCATTGTATCTGAAGAAGTGTGCATGCACACGGATGTTTACACCTTGAATAAAACTTTCTTGGTCTCCAAGGTTCCCCCGACTGGACTCAGACTTTGTTCTGCTGCTCCAGACCACCATGGCTGCCCTAGCCCTGGGTCTGATTCCCAGGTAGTGACTGTTGATGGGAAACATCAAGGGGTATCTGCTTTCTTTTCCTGTGGCTCATTTTAATTTGGCCAGGTATCTCCATTCATTGAACTGAGAGAGAATGATACTGTTTTTGAATTGCGAATATATGTTTTAATTTCCCTGTGGTCAGTCAGTTATGGAATATTCTATACAAAATTACTTTAGTGATAATTGTAAAATATTTGTTTTGTAGGATTTTGAAAGAGAAAAACATGCTCATAGTATATTGCAATTTCAATTAATGGAAGTCAAAGACGTTTTGAAGCAAAGAGAAGAACTACTTGCAGTAAGTGAATTCTCGGCACTAAGAAAATAATTATGTGTTGTTTGCAATAAACTTTTTATTAAATTTTATAACACTTAACTGGAAACTGGTGAAACACAGATAATCTATGACCACTGTGAATTTTCCCTCTGAAGTAAACATGGTGGAATGAGCTTGGTGAATCGGTAGAAGCAAGAGCAACCTACGGTATGGTCACATTCTCTGGAGGTCCAGGAGTGGGGCAGTCCTTGACTCCTTACTCCTGGGAAAGCACCTTAGTAGCATTTCAGACAGTCTAAAAGGCGATGACCTGGAGGGCCCCGGATGCGCAGGAGGTGTTTCCTCATGGCACAAAGATGCCACAGTGCCCTCGCCTCTCACAAAACATTCTTCTGTGCTCTGTTCCTCTGATTAGAGTCACTCCAGACTTGTCTGCCGTGTTCCACATTCGGAGTGTGAGAGTGTGTGTGTGTGTGTGTTAAGTGCCATCAAGCTGCTTCCGACTTACGGCTGCCCTATGAATTTAATATCCTCTCTGGCTTCCTGGAGGGAGTCCGTCCGTCTCCCGTCGGGCCTTCCTCTTCTCCAGCTGCCTTCCACTTTTCCTAGCATTGATGCCTTTTCCAGTGAGTCTTGACTTCTCATGATGTGACCAAAGTATGATAGCCTCATTTTAGTCATTTCAACTTTTATGGAGAGGTCAGCCTTGATTTGGTTTAAAGCCCACTTTTTTGTCTTTTTGGTGGTCCACAGTATTCGTAAACCTTTCCTCCAGCACCACCTTTCAAAGGAATCTAATTTCATCCTGCCAGCTTTCTGCATTGTTCAACTTTTACACCCAGACGTTATAAGAAGAAATACTACGGCATGAATTAGCTTGATCTTAGTCGCCAGCGACACATCCTGACTCTTAGGGATATTTTCTAGCCTCTTCCCAGCCTCAGCCTCCCGGTTTCTCGGGTGCAGAGTCTCCCTTTGGGTTGATGATGGAGCCGAGGAATGAGAGATCTTGAACAATCTCAGTTTCGTCATCGTCAGCCTTAAAGTTGCGTAATTGCCCAGTAGTCATTACTTTTGTCTTCTTGATTTTCGGCTGTAATCCTGCTTCATCAGGAGTCTTTTCAAGTCTTCATTGTTTTCTGCCAATAATGTGGTGATATCTGCATATCTTAAATTGTTAATGTTCCTTCCACCAATTTAAACTTGACCTTCATCTAAATCTAATTCAGTTTTTCTTACGAACATTCTGAGTACATATCAATTTTGGTTGATATATCCCCCCCACACCATGTCTACAGGACAAGTTCAACATCCAAGAAAGTACCTTTTCCGCGTCACAAGACACGAGTCCTTCTTCCTCCAACGGAAAGGGCAGCCCAGTTTCCCAGACCAGCATGCGGGGGGGGGGGGGCAGTGAGGTTGTTAAGGCGATCCAAGGACTCCTAAAGGAGTTTTCCCCACTTTTAGTTTCACTGCTAGTATTTTTCTTCTTTCCCTTCCCACATGTCCCTGGGTAGGGCTACTTTTTCTGTCACAGAGAACAGGTTAAGGGAGGTCTTGCTGCCTTCCCTCTTCCCTCCAAACTGAGGAAATGTGGCCCAGTTGATGCCTTCCATCCAAAAGAGATCTCGTCCCCCTCCCCTAGTCTCCAGCTGGGAGACGAGAAAGAGGCGTGCAGTTGCCTTCTCGGCGCCTAGATTTCTGTACATTCCAGAAGCACAAACCTCCTCCTTCAGCAGGCACCTTAAGTCACCTGCGCTAACCCAAAGATTGTGCTAAGTCTCCTGGCCCCCTTAGATCCGTCCTTACCGGCTCGGCTGGGAAAGTGAGGGCAGTGAGTGGCCGCTGGTCTTCCTTGCCCTCACACCTCGGAGTGGGAAGAAGAGCAAAGGTCCCCGATACCTTCTGCAAGCAGTAGGGTGATGGCAGACGGAGGGGGGGCACACCCTGGAACAGACGGAAGGCGTGCGGCCACCGTGGTGGGGATAGAGCATGTGCAGGTTCAAATCAGAGAAACTAGAGCAAAGCTCAAAAAGATTTTTCAGTGCTGGCTTCATGTGCCAGGAGCACCAGGGAGCAACATCTATGCTCAGAGAAGGTAGAACACAAGACACGCCAATGTTGGATCAGGCCAGTGGCCCATCCAGTCCAACACTCCGGGTCACACAGTGGCCAGAAATACCAGGGACCCTCAGGAGGCCCAGCAGTGGGGCCAGGACACCAGAAGCCCTCCCAGTGTTGCCCCCCCCCAGCACCAAGAATACAGAGCATCACTTGCCCCAGAGTTCCTATCTGTACCTTGTGGCTAATAGCCACTGATGGACCTCTTCTCCTTATGTTTATCCAGTTCACTCTTGAAGCCGTCCATGCTTGTAGCCGCCACCACCTCCTGTGGCAGTGAATTCCATGTGTTAATCACTCTTTGGGTGAAGAAGTACTTCCTTTTATCCGTTCTAACCCGACCGCTCAGCAATTTCATGGAGTGCCCACGGGTTCTTGTATTGTGAGAAAGGGAGAAAAGTACCTCTTTCTCTACCTGCTCTTTCCCATGCATAATCTTATAAACCTCAATCATGTCACCCCTCAGTCGTCGTTTCTCCAAGCTAAAGAGCCCTAAGCGCTTTAACCTTTCCTCATAGGGAAAGTGTTCCAACCCTTTTATCATTCGAGTTGCCCTTTTCTGCACTTTTTCCAAAGCTATAATATCCTTTTTAAGGTGTGGTGCCCAGAACTGCACACAGTATTCCAAATGAGGTCTCACCATTGATTTATATAGGGGCATTATTATATTGGCTGATCTGTTTTCAATACCCTTCCTAATAATCCCCAGCATAGCATTGGCCTTCTTTATTGCAGTCACACACTGTCTCGACATTTTCAGTGAGTTATCTACTACAACTCCAAGATCTCTCTCTTGATCTGTCTCTGCCAGTTCAGACCCCATCAATGTGTATTTATATTTAGGATTTTTGGCTCCAATGTGCATCACCTTGCACTTGGCCACATTGAACCCCATTTGCCATGTTGACGCCCACTCGCCCATCTTTGACAGATCCCTTTGGAGTGCCTCACAATCCTCACTGGTTTTCACCACCCTGAACAACTTCGTATCATCCGCAGATTTAGCCACTTCACTGCTTACTCCCAACTCCAAATCATTAATGAACAAGTTAAAAAGCAGTGGACCAAGTACTGATCCCTGTGGTACCCCACTGCTTACCCCCCTCCACTGGGAGAACTGCCCATTTATACTCACTCTCTGTTTTCTATTAATTAGCCAGTTTTTGATCCATAAAAGGACTTGTCCTTTTATCCCATGATTTTTGAGCTTACTTAGGAGCCTTTGATGAGGAACTTTATCAAAAGCTTTCTAGAAGTCAAGGTAAACAACATCTATTGTGTCCCCCTTGTCCACATGTTTGTTCATCCCCTCAAAGAACACTAACAGGTTAGTGAGACAAGATCTTTCCTCACAGAACCCATGCTGAATCTGCTTTAGTAGTTTTTGTTCATCAATGTGCCGACTAATTCTTTCCTTAATAACAGTTTCCACCAACTTACCTGGTATTGACGTTAGACTGACTGGCCTGTAATTTCCCGGATCTCCTCTGGAACCCTTTTTAAAGATGGGAGTGATATTAGCTACCTTCCAGTCCTCAGGAATGGAGGCAGATTTTGATGAAAGATTACATATTTTTGTCAGGAGATCCACAAGTTCACATTTGAGTTCTTTCAGAACTCTCAGATGTATGCCATCCGGGCCTGGTGATTTATCAGTTTTGAAGTTGTCTATCAGTTTTAGGACCTCCTCTCTCGTCACCTCAATCTGACTCAGGTCTTTCAACACCCCTCCCAAACTCAGCGGTTCTGGAGTGGGCAAGCACTTCTCACCTTCCACAGTGAAGACGGAGGCAAAAAATGCATTTAGCTTCTCAGCCATTTCCCCATCATCCTTCAGTACTCCTTTTACCCCTTGGTCGTCCAAGGGCCCCACTGCCTCCCTGGCTGGTTTCCTGCTTCTAATGTATTTGAAGAAAGTTTTATGATTGGTCTTTATGATTTTTTGCAATATGCTCCTCATATTCCCTTTTTGCCTGCCTGACCACAGACTTGCATTTTATTTGCCACAGCCTGTGTTCCCTTTCATCAACCTCACTGAGACTAGCTTTCCACCGCTTAAAGGAATCCTTCTTACCTTTTACAGCTTCCATTACTTTGTCTACAACCCTCCATTAAACGAGGGTTGTGGACAGCTTGCTTCCACGCTGGCTGACCCTTTTCTGGCCGCTTTTATCAGGAGTCCTCCAGCGACTGGTGCAGCTCATCAATGGCTAAACAGCCTGCCAGACTGTCAGCACTGATCCTGTAGTAGCTCCTACTCGGAGGCAGATACTGAGTGGTGCTGGGCTGCCAACGGTGCCTTACAGCACTGCCACTCTGGTGCCTCCCTCTGGGCCTGCCTTCTCTGGGAACCCCCGGGGGTGAGGCTGGTGGCTGCGGGCTTCTCCTTCCGCTTTGGATCCCAGGCTGCAGGCGGAGGGTGTGGCACACGCTGACCTTGGCCGGAGACGGCCCCCGAGGGAATCCCTCCCTTGTCCAGGTGCAGCATCCGAGGGCTGGGGCCGGCTCCCTCGGTCTCATCCAAGGAGGAGGTGGTGTTGACAGCCAGACCCACAGCATGCCCTTTGGTTGCCTACCTTGTTGCATGCTAGAAGACACTGGCATTTGCTTTTGAGCATAAGTTGGAAAGTTTTGGGATTTCAGAAATATGGGAGGTGCATAAATTGGCCCCAGTGCATGTAACTTTTTCATTGCTAATGTTGCAAGCTTAGATTTTCTTTTCTTCTGATTAACTCTCTTGTACACTTTCTGTCTTTTTGTTTGCACCTGCCTCTCAGGAAATCCAGCAACTGCAACAGAAACAGGAAGGCTATACCAGGGAAATGTCTGATCTTCAAGAGACAATAGAGTGGAAAGAAAAAAAGATAGGGGTAGGATTCTCTGTCCTGTCAGTGTTGATTGTCAGTGCTGTCATTTAAACCAAGGAATGCCATGTCAATGTGTCGTGGATTCTGTCAGTACACCCAGGAGTCTCCTGTGCTGTCCAAGAATCGCTGCATGTACGTACCTGGGGGGGGGCAGGCTGGGTTGCTCATTCTGGCTGCACCAACTTGTGCTGTGTTGGAAACTGCTCCAGGGGGCCGCCCAGCTTTCTCCGGTGGCTTTTTAAGTAGCACGTGGGGCTGCAGTGGCACTGGGAGGGGGGGGGGTCCTCAGAAGCTGCAGGTTGTAGACGACAGTTCTGCCAACTGCAAGTTTCACCTCAGCCATCTCTGTATTTGTACACTGCAATCCGAAGAACACTTTTCTGGGAGTAAGACCAATTGAATCGATCAGAGCAGGATTCTAAGTAGACCTGGTCAGGATTGCTCCAACATGGATACTTCCGTGTGAATAGTGGACACTGCAGTTTGTGTCTCTGTTAAGCCAAGCAGCAACTACATGCCTTATCTGTTAAACTCATCACAATGTGGCAGAATGCACATATGTAAGGCAAGACATGCATTCTGGTAAACTGAATTGCAGCTATCTTAGTACAAACAATTTGGAGACAAAGAATAGAACAGTTTTTGTTTGTTTTTTGTTATTTTAAGGAAAGAATTCAGCACCAGCAATACTACATTTGAGATTTTATACAAATGGAGCAAATTTATTTATTTATTTATTTGATTTTTGGACTGCCCTTCCCCATATTTGGGGTTCTGGGTGGTGTGCCACATTCAAGTTTAGAATCATAGTCAATTTAAAATAGGTAAAAACAATAAAACAATTTCGGTAATCATTTCAGATGGCTTCTACATCCAAATTGCTTTCCCCTAGGGGGAAGTGAACAGAGAGAGGCCAGGCTAATTAAAAAACATTTCCGTCCTCATCAATAGGCCTGGCGGAACATCTCCACCTCATAGGCCCTACAGAACTGGACTAGGTCCTGCAGGGCACGGATGTCGTTTGGCAGAGAGTTCTGCCAGATCGGAGCCAGGGCTGGAAAAGCCCTGGCTCCGGTTGAGGACAGCTGGATATTTTTTGGGCCAGGGATCTCCAGAAGATTTTTCTTTGCTGAGCGCAGTGCTCTTGGGGGGGGGGGGGTTTCCAGGAGAGGTGGGCCCAAAGGTACATGGGTTCCAGACCATTCAGGCCCTTAAAGGTTAATACCAGAACCTTGAACTTGATCTGATATTTAACCCAGGGCCAGTGCAGCTAGCAGAGCATCGGTTGGATGTGCGATGTTAATAGGGTTCTGGTGAGACCCCGGGCCGCTGCATTCTGGACCAGTTGTAACTTTTGGACCAGTCTCAAGGGTAGCCCTGCATAGAGTGAGTTACAGTAGTCTAGCCTACAGGTGACCGTTGCATGGATTACTGTGGCTAGGTCAGGGAGAGACAAGAAGGGGGTCAGTTGCTTGACCTAGCGAAGCTGGAGAAACGCCAGCCTGGCAACATCCGTGATCTGGGCCTCCATTGATAGAGAGGCATCCAGAAACATCCCCAGGCTCTTAAGACTGGATGCCGATGTTAATGGCACACCGTTCAGAGCCAGAAGTTGGCACCCCAGTCCTGAATCCCCCCCCCCTCCACCACCACAGAACCTCCATCTTGGTTGGACTCAGTCTCAGCTTGCTCTGCTTCAACCATCCAGCCATGTCTTCCAGACCCTCAGCCAGATTTGGGGGGGGGGGGGCGGTGTCCGGCCACATCTATCCATCGGCAGATGCAGCTGTTGAGTGCCATCAGCATTTCAATTTTTTTTTTTTTAAGCATTTCAATGTTTTGCCCACTTTATGTTTTTTGATAGATTTGGTGACAGTGGGTGGAAATTCCTGAGAACAGTGTGGGACATGAATAAGACTGTCGTGCAGGTGGGGAGAAGATTTGTGTTGCGCTAAGCAAAGAAGTCCCACCCTAAGTGTTTCTTTGATTTGTAAAGATGCGTGTTGCTGAGTAGTGGTATGTCCTGTTCCCAGGAGATACTGCAGATGGCTTGTGCTGATCATTATACCACATTCCTTTGAGCAGAACTGTGCTTCTGGTGCTTGTCCCAGGAGTGGAGTCCATTAAGCAGGACTCATGGTGCTCCTTATAAAGTCTGGACAGCAGGCCTATCACGATCAGCGCAGCCCATTGCACGGCCTAACCGTGAGTACTTTTGCCTGCAAGTGGCTGCAGCAATGTGCCATGTTACGCAGCAGCAGGTAACACTGCTTATGATACATTAGTGTACCATCCAGAGCTATATAATTTCCAATAATTTTGAAGCCTGGGGGGGGGGGGAAACCCAGATTTTTGGAAAAATTAAAATGTATACAGAACTTTCTTACTAAGCCTAAACTTACTTTACTGCTTTAATAACATAATGTGTAACTTACTCAGTATGCAAAATTGCAGTACTTGGCATACTTATGAAATTTAATGGTATCAATGCAAAACTGCAAAAGCAAAACTACAGATTCAAGAAAGAGAGCTGGAGACTGCTGCCCCATATGCTACCTTGCAACGTGTATCTTTGCTATCAAAGCAGTGGGGAGGAGTTGAAAACAGATAATACAGATTTTGTTGGAAACGATGACCGTGTATTACTTCAACAGAAACAGTCTGAGGGAGTCAAATGTGGACTAACGGCATATATGTATATCCGGTTAGGCTTTATAACATTGAAAACAATGAACTATTCAATAGTGAATTATAATAAACACTGTCACACATTAACTGTGGACAGAATTAATCCCGTTAAAACAGTAGGTATGCCCAGGGCTATTTTTGGGATGGAACGGTGTTCCAGCTGCCTTCTGAGCCCGGGGGGGCGGGCACATGCAGCAAGCCCCGCCCCCTGCTCCCAGCAGCCCTCAGTCGGGTCACAAGGAGCAAGAGGCAGGGAGGTAAGTTGCAGAGCCCACCCCCCGCCCACCTTCCCCGGCCTGCGCCAAGGTGTGGGGCCCAGGGAAGACCTGCGCCACCTTGATCAGGGGTGCGTGGGCGTGGCATGGCTGATGCGGGGGAGGAGGAGGCTTGATCTGGGTGAGTGAGTGAGCCATGGGGGGGGGGCTTGATAGGGGGGTGGGAGAACCTCCCTCCCCCCCATCTCTGTGCCCTCTTTCTTTCCGTCCTTTCCTTCTCTCTCTCACTTTCTTTCCCTTCTTCTTTCCTTCTCTCTTTCTTTCTCTCTTTCCCGCCTTCTTTCCATCTCTCCCCTTCTTCCTTCTCTCTTTCTATCCCCTCTTTCCTTCTCTTTCTTTCCCTCTATCCCTCCTTCTTTCCTTCTCTATCTCTCTCTCTGCGCTGTCAGGGGTGTGGCCTAATATGCTAATGAGTTTCTGCTGTTGGGTGTGGCCTATTAGGCTAATGAGTTCCTGCTGGGCTTTTTCTACAAAAAAAGCCTTGGGTATGCCCTTCAACATACTGGTTCCCCAGACTCCAGGTGTCTGTGTAACGGCCCTTTAAGGGGACCGGGGAGCAAAGGGAGCCTCCAGCATGTCCACAAAGCTAGGCCAAAGTCCCCCGAGGCCTGCAGCAAGCAAGACCTTGCCTGCTCCTCTCAGGAAGGCGGCAGCAGCAGCATCCTCCTCCGTGTGGCCCCAGGGCATCTTGGAGTTGACTGCTGGATAGGTCTACAGACTGTTTCATATAAGAATCTTCACGCTTTACACTTTGAGTGAGTAAATCTTTTCTTAAAAATCATTTTAACCAGTCAGTGAGAAACCCTATGACATCATCTCCCTCAGCTTTCTCCTGCACCCCACGGGTGCGGATGTTTATACGATTAGCTAATTTTAATTTCATAGTTCTATTTTGGTTCTCCAGTTTCTTGATTTTCTCCTGCTGTGCTCTACTGATATCCAGAGCTCGCTCAGCAGACTCGGCCACACTTTTAACATTATCTACTAATTCTTTTAATTGACTGTTTATAAGTTTTAATCAATCTCTCCATCCATCCATTAATTCTTGTTTTAAATTCTTTCATAAAAGCGATAGTTATTTTTGCATACCTTGTAAGATGTTTTCGACATCGCTCCCATTGTTTTTTTTCTCTGTGCCCTTGGAGGGAGTCTGATTATTGTGATATTCCTCCAAACCCTTAAGGGAATATCCACAGACTCTCAATATTTGGATTATTTAGGTCTTCTGCTTTCTGCTTTCTAATGCAGCCGAAGTTTCATCTGTTAAACACTATTAAGTTTGTGACTTAAAAGCGAAAGAAAAAGGATAAATCCATTCTCAAAGCCAAAGACCTTTTGAAGAGGCATGACGGAACAAGGATTGCAGCATTGGCAGTTTGTAAAAAGAGAAAACAGCGACCCGGAGGAGGAGCCGAGAAGCCGGAGAGAAGCAAGCAGAGGAAGTTCCTTGTAGAAGCTGGAGGCTAAAAGAAGCCAACCCGCAGAAAATCGGTTCGAAATGCGCTTTGAAAAGACTTTATTAACAAGACACCAATGGGACACTACTAACATATTAACATAGACAATGTACTTAACCGGTATGAGGAAAGAAGTTTGACAACACACTCAAAAAGAAAAAGAAGAAAAGATTTATATTACTAACAGATTAATTTACTAGTTAAAACATCACTCAGCTTTCTCTTGATCCCACTATACACCCTCCCCCTTTCTAATTAAGCGAAATATCTCTCCTTTTTAGGAGAGGGAATAAAGCTTTTAAATAATAAAAAAAAGACTATTAAGTTTGTGTTTTGGAGCCCTTTTCGGCATCTAGGCCTGGAGCCCTCGGATTAGGCGTCTGCCGTTATCCAGCTCAGCTCCGCCCCCTTCTAGATGTATCTATATGTAGATGGGACTCCCTTTACTGTGATGCAATTAAAAGAGAAATTGCAAGGAGAGTTAAATTGGTTTTCGCTATATCAACTGCATTACCTAATTGTAAATTCTATGGATTTGAACAGAATTTAATGCAATGTATGACAAGTCTAAAAGGAGTAACCT